TTTTTCCTTCATTCCATGTCTTTCTGGGACTCATTGCACTTCAATGGGTATYGATATTCTCTAAGAAGATGAAAATTTGGGATAGGTCAGAGCCTTTCTTAAAATGCAAGGGTAGTGAAACTGGCCCATCTGCTGAAGCCYCTGTCCATACCTGAGTACAGTGACTGAGGAACTAACTTGGTGTCACCAGCTGCACATGTACCTTCCTCTTCATAAATCATAAAAAGACAAGCATTCTTCGATTTAAAGTTTTGAATCCCAAATCACTTTTTTTCTCCCCTTTGTGTCTTTTTAGATGCTGATTGCAAGGCTGAATAGAATTTATCAGATATTTGAGCTTAGAGTTCTGTGGTTTACTCTTTAACAGTTTATGTTGCTATGTTGAACTATTATGTGGTGATGACAGTGGCTTAAAAAAAAAAAGTCTGTAATACATCAACATTTGTCTGGAAACACTAATCTCTATTTTCTTAACTCTACCAGATTTCCTGTGCCTTCATTTTAATTGCATGTGCTGATTAAGCAACTTTTAGTCCATATGTTCTTTAAAAAAAAAAAAAAAAAAAAAAACTTGTGTCTTTCTACTCACACATTGCCTAACTGCTTAGTGCAGAGAAGGTTCTCTAAAAATTTTCTTCCGATTTTTCAGACTGAAACACAAAGGATTTCTTTATATCAACAGCCGTTGAAACAGTGATAAAAAAATGTTATGCCTGCTAATATCTTGTCATGTCTTAAAATTTGTTAGGAGTTACAGCAATTGGGGACAGCAATCTTTGAGAMTGCTGTGGAACCAAGATAACTTCACAGTATATTCAACGCTGCATAACACACTGGTGATGAAATATCTCATTCTCTTGAGGAATATGAAGTGTAGTGAGTTGAAAGTTTTTTCCACATCTTTCCTTTACAGTAAATTCTATGCTGGTTTAATTTTTATATATTACCTCTCAGGCTGCAACGTAGGAGATTTTGTCTCACTATCAGCTTTCTAAGTTGCTTTTTGCTATCTTTTTTCCAACCATTAGTAGATATTGCTGTCAACTATTCAGAGCCATTGTCTGATAAGAATGAGAAAGTTTTTGTTAAATAACAAGACTTCCCAGTTTTTTTGGTCTGGTCTCACTTTTGGAAATAGCTAGCATTTGCTTGACACCTTCACAGTTTCAGATAAAACTTTTAGGGTTGACTATATAGGAAGCTACTGTAATCACCTGAATTCTTTCTGACTTGGTTACTATTGACTGTACATTAACCATGTGTGTATCTTATAAGCCTTTGTCACAGGTCCTCTGTTAAGTGTGATAAGCTACTAGCTCGGAATTCTCCAAGTATAAATGTGTATGTATAGTACACACCAGAAATATATTTTCATAGCAGTTCTCATCAGAAATACATTTTCAAGGTGGTGCAGTGTGGTCTTGGGTGTGACAAACAGAGCAGAGTCTTTAGGTTAGGAAAGAGTACTTAATTTTGCAGAAAAATTCAGGCCGTTGGTGGGCACCCATGTAGTCATGCAGACAGACAGGGGTTATGTGGGGTCGAAGGGTTGGGGTCCTGGAGAGCTGGAGCTGGACCTGCTCCCTCAGCACCCAGTGGGGCACTGGGGATGCAAGGGCAGCAGGGTGACCCCCCTCCAGTCCCTGACTGTGAGCGCTAATCTCTGCCCAGCTAGGATGGACAGGTCAGACAAGATCACAGCTGTCACATTGCATTACAGCCCATTTATTAAATGTGAGGCGGCTTTTCAAGCCTAGCTAAGTATGCTATGCGTGCTCTTCAGCTTTAATTTGTGTAATCACTGGTCGATGTTGATTGCAAAATTAAGCAAAAGACATTCATGAAACTATGGTATTTGATATCCTTCTGAAGGAGGGGATAGTTTTCTTTTTCTTATCTTCTTTTTCCTTTAGTGTAGGAGAAAGGGAATGGTTTGAGCTGATTTTTGTTTTTTTGATAAAGTGCTTTTGCATCTGTGTTGCATAAGTTACTTGCAAGAAAACAACGGTGGCACCTTAACACTTTTTATAAACAGCTTTAGTAGAATTAGGATACTACCTGTGTGACCTTACCAATGACTCCAAGGTTACAGGAATAACTTCTAGAGGCATGTAATAAAATTTGAGAACCATTGCAAATTAATTAATAAGAACTTAAAAAGCAATTAATATAAGTAGAAGAATTACAGGTTAATTGCTGTCTAGTCTTCTCCTTGGTGTAGGCTATCACAACACTCTTGTTTTCAGGTAGCAGGCAGATTTCTGCATAATTATAACTTTTGCCATTGAGAGAGTAGAGGTAGTACATAATACAATAATAAGTTGCTCATTCATAGGTTTATTCCTGTCTTTTCGGAGTTGCATATTTCCACATATGATCACACTGAAGTTTATAGACAAATTACAACCGAAAGCATTGGATCAAAGAAGCTCTAAACCTGTGTGAAAAAAAAAAAAAGTGGGAAGATGCAAATAAAACCTTAAGGAAAAAAATAGTTTTCAAGGCATTTGTAATAAATGTGTAAATTTAAAATGACTTGGTTTGCCTTGCATTGTCTCTAGTCATCAATTTAAGACAGGGCTACCTTCAGAAATAGCTTCATATTTCCAAAATCATTGCTCTTTGCTCAGTCTGGCAACCAGGTGACTAAAGATAAGGCAATTAAATGTTCTTTGGCTCGTGCCTGGAATATAATAGCTATACTTCACTACTCAAAACAAAAGAACCTCTGGTCCGCCATTCTGTTGGTGCCAAGAGCCAGTTAGGACATACCTAGGGAAAGGGTAGCCCAGTTATCCACTCTGCTTTGAGCAGCCTATGCCTTCTTAACCAGAGAACAAGTTCTATACAAGTGATTAAAGGGCTTTTCCTCTGTGAAATCATCTAAGTGTCTTTTGAACCCACATACCACCTTGTGACAGTAAGTTCCACGCTAAAATGGTGCAAACAGTTGCCCTTCAAAACACCTCAGTGATGATGTGGCACATCATTTTTGCAGGAATATTTCAAAGAATCCCAGAAAGCCTCTCCTGAGGCTGCCTTTCCTTTCCAAAGGAAGATGAGACTTTTCTTATCAGAGATCTGTTATTTTTATGACCACAGTTAAGATCTTTGCAAGGACTTGATCCTTGTCGCTTTAGCAAGGGGATCGGGTAAAAATTCTTAAGAGTGCAGGTTTTCTTTTGCCTTAAAGTCTGAGCATCTTACTCATGTGAATTCCCAAGACCAATGCTGCTAATATATAATATTTAGAGATGGGGTGAGAATTTTGCTGTGGGGGAAAAGGCTTAGATCCTTGAAGCTTGTCCATAAAAACAGCTGTTGATGTCTCTGCCTCGATATCATGGGCTTCACTGTCTTCAATTTTTAGGTTAGAAGTCCTTCATTACATTTTCTCACATATTTCATAGCACTGGAAAAAAAGAGGACTCAAAGCCCCTGAGATGCAATTCGTAAGAGCCTCAAAGACCTTTATTTTATAACCTCTGTTAGTAATCTTGAGTCACTTCCAATACATCATGCAGGTCTAAGTGAAGTTGCCATCTGGTACTGTGCTAAGATGCTTCAGGTGACCTGRCTTTTTTTCCTCACCACGCTGAGGAATCTAAGCACATGGTTCATAGCCACTAAACCATAGATGGGTTTCTGTGAAAGGCTACTGATGCTGGGCAGAGGAAATTATCTGAAATTACTTTATTTTCCAACCCATTGCCTGTATTAAGTTTTTTGTTTCCAGGCTGTGTACTTTTTTTTTTTTTTTTTTCAACTTTTTTTTTCCCCCTCCAACTTTCCTTGTGAGGTCACAGTCTCAAACTACCAACAAGTTCTCTAGTCCCTTTTCCTTTTCTAGCTTTTTTTCCTCCCATTTTACTACAATGCTTGCAGACCCAGCATGCAAGTTTGTCACCACCTCTGCTTTTTTCTGCATTATCCCTTATCCCATTTCGGTCTTCCGGACTTTGCTTGTAGAGTCATGCAAGGGAAGAAATCTAACTCGTCACTCATCTTGTGTGCATATACAATTCCAARAAATCTGTGCTTTAACCAAAGAAATCAGTTTTCCTAAGAGTAGTAGTGTTAAACTAATTATTAAGAAAAAAGTACATTTTTTCCAGCATAGCCTTTCTAGTTTCTGTGTACATCATCATTATAAGCTACCTCTACAACACTCCTAATAGAAACATATACCATAAAAACTCATTTGGAAATAATTTCTTTTTCTACTTACTTAATTCTGTTTCCATGTTGCTGTTTATTCTGAATTGTTGCACTGTGTTTTCTAATCTTCTGAGTGAATTGTCTTATTTCTTTTCCAATTCTGGCTTATTGCCAGTAAGTGTGTCTGGTTTGTTCATCTSTTTGCTTATTCTGTCAAATGTTGCACAGCAAAATTTATTTTTTTTCAGATTACTCAAGTAGATGATTTGGAACAGCCTGATAATTTTGGAGTGCTTCTTAAACAAAATGCAGATTTCTTTGGCATGTTAATCTTATCTTCTGAAAGGAAAAACATGACAGAAGTAGGAGATCCTTCCATGTTACATGAAGTAAGTATGTTTTCAAGGACTGTGATGACTTAGTCTTTGATGTTCATGACATAAAAATAGTCTTTGGTATTCTCAATATACAAAAATTACTATGAAATCTTCTATTCATACCTTATTTAATTTAAATTTGAATTTTAAAATGTTTTTGGCTTTTTTTAAATGCACTACTGTTTCTGGASATCTATAAGTCTAAGTTACATCTGAGTTTTAAAACACCCTGCCTGAAGCACAATTTTGATAGGTATGCATTTGAAAAATTCTTTTTTGGAATTTCAAAATAATAGMTATTGAAAATTTTGTTTTGATCCGCAAAGATAAAAGATTGAAGATTGCTTCTGCAAGTTACTCTTCTTTTGTTTGTTGTTCTTGCTTATTGTAAATACAGTTTCTTTCCAGGGAGCCTGCAAATCTTTTCCTGTCACTGATATTTTGGAGTGGAGCATTTCCAAACAGCAGTTCACACATTTAGGGGCTTATTCTGTTGTTATTCAGTTTGTTGCACAGGCAAATCCCGCTGCCTCTTGCTGTTGAAAGCTGCGGTCTTGTATCAGGTAGCACGTTAGCAGACAGCTMTTCTATGGAGACTCTTGAATGGGATGCGAGGAAAAGCTGGAGCTTAGAAAAATCCTCTCTTAATGGCAGTTATAGTCTATACTGCTACTGAAGTCCTCCAGACAGCCAGTCATGCTCACCTTTCCCCTTCGGAAATCCCAGTAGGATCTCATAGGTGAGACTGCTCCTTAAGGGTAGGTTCTCCTTACAGGCAACAATCATATTTTTACATTACAACAGCTTGTGCATGCCGTAGTTTATACCATAAGGCTTAAATCTACTRTAAGGTTGCAAGGTATTATATACTTCTGCACAGTACAGATATAATATTGCAGTGTATGTTTCCACAGTTTGAGCCACCAGAAGAAGCTGTCCTGCACTCACTCTGCTGCTCACCACTCTTTCCCATGCCTGATATATGCTCTCTTGTACAATTCACTTTTGTCAAACTGGGCACTGCAAAGTATAAATATTTCTGTTTAAAGCTAACCATTTTTATTAGTATTTTAACTAATGATTTAACTAATTTTTAACTAACTGCAATGAGGGACTCGAGTGCTTATGTGACTGCTGTCTAAGGACCACAGAGCATTCTGGGGGCTTAGTGGATATTTGCTTTAAGCTCTCTCCAGTTCTCCAAGTCAAATCACATTTCAGGTTTGGCCCATTTGGTCTCTAGGCAAAGATTTGGACCATGGTATATAAAGAAGTAATAAAAATTAAAAGCTAGAGGACACACTTATGATACAAGGTAGCAGCATCTTCAGGTTTCATAATGGGACTTGACTTAGCTTTTCTTGTCCTTTAACATACTTAGCAGTCTATCTTTTTCCCTGTGGCTCTTGTCCCAGGAAAGATAGGGTGGGAAGGGGAAGCCGTTGCCTCTCAGTGCACGTTAAGAGTGCCAATATGCTGCACAAGCTGCTGTAAAGAGTGCACCCACTTTGTTATATCCAAGTTCCACCTGCAGTGGTGAAAGGACACTTGGGCTGGAGGTTTATTTAAATCTGTGTGAATTAGGATTAGAAGCTGTCCTCGGAGGCTGTCTGTGTTGCTTATTCAGTAGGCAGACAATTTACATAACTTGAACACCATAGGCACCAGGACAAATCGGGCCACCATCTGCAGCAGTGTAATTTGTCCTCGTGCYGAGGCTCTGAGAACCGACTGGGTGTAAACACTGTGATCCACTTATAAAACCTTTGCTGCTCTAAAACTGGATGCTGGTAATCTTGTCAGGATGCTATATTTACTTAGTCAATGTCTGTAGCGATCTATAAGAGGTTTAATGTAGCTCTTGAAAGCAGTTGATGTCCGAATGTTGCTGGGAAGCCATTATAGCAAAGAAGAATGAACGTTTGGATGAATAGCTACTGAAAACAGGATTTGGGAATGTTTGACACTATGGGAGCGGCTGGATCAGCGGATGATATTAATGCCATGGAAATTCATCACTGGTACACAAAATTTATGAAGGAGTGCCCCTCTGGACAGCTTTGTCTGCATGAATTTAAACACGTCCTGGATCTGCATGGACTTAATCCAGAAGCTAATGGTTATGTTGAACAAGTATTTCACACATTTGATATGAATAAGGTAAGAATTCATTCTTAACTGCATGACTTTCTTATGGCTGTACTGTTTGATCCATTGGATAGCACATCAGAAAGCTCCGATAATGCTGAGAGGATGGAGGTGATTCAAAGGGAATGCTGCTGGAAAAAAAAAAGAGTGAAAAAAGTGAATAGCCAAAAAAGAATGTGAATTTGTTCATTTTCTCTCAGTAAATTTTGCCCTTCTTATATACTTTCACATTATATACTGTCATTCTGTGTTGAATAGTTTCTCATCTTTGAAGTCTGAATTTTTAATATTTTCTGTGTGTGCTTGCAGTTGAAAGCTTTATTTACATAACCCTAATTACATGTATTTAATTATTTTTAAGYAGTAAATACTTTCCTGGTTCCACAGGTATTAAAACTTAAATCACAGCACAGAAACAATATGTCTTCTCTCACAAAATGAAATATTTCTGGTTTTGTTCTGAACGCCTTGTATGGCTCTAGTGTGGTATCAGTCAATCTCTATTTTCCAAAGATAAAACCAAGTCTTGTTTTGATCTCTCATCCCAGTTTTGCTCCTTAACCACCGAGGCGAACCCAAAGTGTCTGTCACCGKCATCACAGTGTCTAATTCTCCCAGCTCAGTGTTCAAGTTGCTTTCAGTCACTAAGCCTGTCTAGAAGGCCATGCCTTAATATTTCCCCTTTGGGCCAAAGCCTCACTTCCTAGCAAATATTACAATTGCATAAGACTCTCCATTTCTTCTATAACAGCAGTGTTTGCCCTTGACAAAATTGAGGTTTAGACTGAATTGGTAATTCAAAACCAATAGTCAGTTAGCCTTCAACTGAAGGAACATGTGGGCCCATTCTGATATAAAAATCTATTAAAAAAGAAAGCATTAGTGTTCTCTACCCATGCCATTGACCTCAGTGAATTCAGAGTAATGAAAAGTGTGTTATTAAATTACATGCATAGTTTTAGCAGAAGGTTAAAACTGATGATTCAAACTGTAGCCCGAAATATTCCAGAGAGTTTTAATCTCTAGAAATGACCTCTTTGTCCTATGCTATGAAAATTAATTATATTTGTTTCACTGCTTTTCATTTTTAATTTGCTGAAAGCAGATGTTACCATGTGTACATCCTTTGTACATTCAACATTTAATTCCTTGCAGGATGCCCAGTAGCCGAAGAATTCCCAGAGCCAGTACTTTTGTTATATTAAGTGTTCTTGTTATGCTAATTTTCCCCTAAAATATAGCTTTCTTTTTTTCATATTACATGATTCTCTCTTTAAAACAATTTTCAAGTACTGCTTCTGTAAAATCCTATTCCACATAGAGTGTTTTCTTTTCAGACAGTTATTAGATGATTAAGTATGCTGGAATGTGATTAAGTAGAATCATGTAACTCGGTAAGTGTGCTAATTACTGCTGTCTAAGCCGGTCAGTAAACCCCAAGTCCATTAAAATGAAATCTGGGGCAAAGTTGTCACTCTGTGGTGTTCTATATAACTTTATAGCGTGTTATAGTGCTCTGTTTAACTAACAAATAAGACACTGATGCAATGTGCTTCCCAGTAAAACTTTATCAGTGTTTATGTTCTTAAGTGCTGTGCATGGACATTGAGCTCCCCTGAGAGCTCTTTCAGTTTAAGCTCTGCTGTGTGTGCCAAAGGGCCCTTGACATCTTAATGCTCCTGAAAATCAATTTCCCAAATTTGTTTTAGACTGATATTTTTGAGGCAACTACTGACCTGAGGGTGTTTCAGAAAAATGAGCCCTTGGTTTGTCTTAGCTTCTTTTCACAAAATTGGAAAGGGAACTGAACACTTCTTGAAAATCAGACCTCTGCCTGAGTGCATGTGTGCACAGCCAGGCACAGGCAAACTTGGTATTTGCCATGSGGTGACTGAGGAGGGAGAGGGAAGCAGTGAGGACCTTTGAAGTAGCTTTGCACCAACAGAAATGCCCAGGAGAATTTGTTGCTCCCCTTAATGTTGGTCTCTGTATTTTCAGAATGTCTCTTTTGCTTGATAAATGGAGCATCAAGTAAAGGGAAGCTTGAGCAGAATAAACTCGATCAAAAATCTGCAGGGTACAGTTAGTCTTTCCCATCTTACCCTGCTTGCCTTTCTTTACCATATGAAGTATTGTACTAGTAATAATGTAATTGAAATTGTAACAGCTTTCTTCACTCTTTTTAATACTGAGAATACGTGTACAGGTGTTGACTTCTGTCTGCTTTCTTAAAATATATATGTTTTGAGCATTGTAATCCAACAGGTTCAAGTTGTGAAGAGTTCTTCTCTTTTTCTAGGTTATTTAGAGTACCTTTCCATAAGAAAAAAAAAAAAAATATTTTACCAAGGCCAGTGTGTGTGAAGATAAACTTTGTGTAAACCTGGGGCTGGAAAACAACTCCAAATTAAAAGTGAAGTAACCTTCTTTATTGTTGTCTCTGCTTTTCTTGTAAGTTACTAATCACAGGCTCTGCCTCCCAGTGTTTTAGCATCCACTGAGTAGCTTACTCAAGTTATCAGATAAGGGATATGTTTTAAACTTAGCAAGTTTTACACAGATCAGATGTACAGGTCAGATATATGCACTAACACAGGCAGTTATGTGCTCCCATGTATCAGACTCTGACCCTCCCTCCCCTGCCAATCCATAAGTTTTTAATAAATTGGCCCATTCAAGCAAATTTGAAGGCATAGGAATTTCAGATAATTAGTTCTTAAAGTTTTCATGAAAATAAGCATGTGGTTAGTGGGAATACACCCAGGACAGCTACAGAATTCAGCTTTTATTCATTGTTTAAGGCAGCAGCTGGCTGGCAAATAATCAGGCATTTGTTTTCTTTTTGCCTGGTGAGGATACAGGGTGGAGCTGAGGTACCAGACTGAAGAGATTTAGAAGACAAAAGACAAAGCTGGTACAAATGGTACAAATCTAGTCTGCTTTTGTTTTGCTGTTCCCAGAAGAGCTTGTTTAATTAATGCTCCATGTTATACAGAAAGAAAAAAAAAAAAAAAAAAGATATTTCAATGTTTTATCTGTTTGGAAGTCTTCCTCCATTTTAAAGAAATTAAGCAACAATTTGGCCTGTAGGGCTTCATAAAATCCGCTATAAAACTGCTATGCCAGGCTTATAACTTCATTATTTAATAATGAGTTTCTAGCTAAAGATCTGATGCTCCTTTTCTCTTCTGCAAGATGTTTGAAGATTGCTCCATTAAGCTAGTGTAATCTAAGGCAGAGTTTTTTATTGTATATTTTCCTAATCGAGCTGCTGCAGAAAGTCCAGAAAAAAATACTTAGAGGGCAGGATTGCAATGGTGTGTTTAGAATAGTCATATATAGCTGTATAGTCAGTATCCTTCTGCAGCCAGTGATCATATGAAAAATGTTTCAGATAAAATGCTGTCAGATTTTCCTCCTGCTCCAATTTGTTTGTAAAATTTAGTAGTTGGAAAAGATGGAACACTTAGAGAAATTAATTTATTGAACTCAAATATTTTACCTGAATGTTTTACTTTTTGCTTCTTTATTTAAAAAACTCTTAACTATTTTTAATGAAATGACAATGGCATAACTACGTGATACAGATATAACACACAGCACCTGGATGAGCTGCAGCTCAGTTGTGTTTCTTCCTTGCCTTGTGAGAAGTTCACTGTAAAGCTTGTGGCAAATGAGAGCCAGGATTTGTTAAACCACATGCCAGGGATTTTGTAAGCTTTTTTTCTAGGATTCAGCCTGACTCTTTAGTTTGACATGATAGGTGTATTTTTCTGTTGTAGTGTAGGTTTTCTGTGAAGCTGTTTGATGGCAGTGCCATCAGGCTTAGGAAACTGTGAGGGGAAAAAAAGTGATCTGTTGGCATTCTAGACACCTGAAACTAAAGTGTATGAGATTTTTATGGCTTGGTACAGGCTTTCTCAGTAATCATAAGCTCACATTGCACATGATAATTCTGAATGTGTTGAGACTTTTCTAATCAAAGTCAGGCGAGTAAGTCAGGGGAGACATCTCTAAGTGCCAAAGGTGAATATAGCACAGCTGACACCTTAGGTTGGGCAAGTACTTGATTAACATGCAATCTGCAGGTAGTTGAAGCAAAAAAATTAGTTCATTTGTCTTAGTATAGGACAAACTTTGTCAGATGAGTTCCCAGGCAATGTTACCTTAAAGAAATATTGGATTCTTTTCTTGAGACTTTGGCAAATCAATGCAGTTTCTTAAAATTCAGTGCTGCTAAACCTCTTTTTGTGACCAAACTCCAGRAAGGTTTTGGCCTTGACATTCATAGAATCACAGAAAGGTCACCTAGTTCAACTTATTGCTCAAAGTAGGTCCAGTTGGACCAATCTGCTCAGGGCCTTGTCTGGTTAAGTTTTGACCATCTCCCAATGATGGTGTTTCTCAAGCTCCCTCAGCACCTACTCTAGTGGCAACCTTCCTCATAGAGGGATTTTTTTTCCTTATATTGAATTAGAGTTTCCCATGTTCCAGCTTGCCCTTCTAATGGTCTGGCTCCCTCTTTCCTACATTCATCCAGACAGCTCCCTAGCCTTCCCTCTTCCCAGACAAAGGAATCCAGCTCTTTCATCCTCTCCTCCCATGCCCTGGGCTCCAGCCCTTGAGCAGTGTGGTGGCCTCCTGCACCTGGGCTCAGTCCAGCATAGCAGGTCTCCCCTATGCGGGGATGCCCCAAACTGGATGTGGTGCCACAGGGGCAGTCTCACCAGTGCCAGACAGAGGGGAAAGGAGCAGATCTGTTGACTGGCTAGCAGCACTAGTGGTAACTGATTAGCACTGAAGAACCATGTTTTATCTAATATCTATAGTGTAGGTACCTGTATGTATCTGATAYATTTAAACTTGTCTCCCAGGTAGAAACCAATAGAAATAAATATTTAATTCATGTTTTTAATTCAAATTGCAAGACACCGTTCTGAATAGGCCAGATGAGTCGTGCCCTGGAAACCTGTATTTATTTCTGTTAAAGGAGCTCTGCATGACTTGTGGAT